AAGGCAACCCCGGTCGCCCCTATTTATTGACTTGGCCCCCCCCCCGCGACACTAAACCTCAATCCGCCACTGTATTATTCATTTCGTTACTTTTATATTAAAGTTCTATTACGGTTCCTACAAGTACCGATTTGTAATTTTTTTTTTTATGGAAAAGATTTTTTCTTTTTTGCAAACTTTATAACATTTTTTTCAAAAATTTAATCTTTAAATTTTTTTTGTTTCTTTTTAAACTTTTTAGATTCAATCTTTTGCATCATATCAGAACTTGTATAATTATATTTTTCTCTATTTCACGAACTGGCTTGACTAGAAGACATTTTTTCTTCAGATTGTATTTATATATATTTATCAGATCTTAAGGATAACATTCTAAAATGTGTGCAAATTGACCAAATAAATCTAACTTACTTTAAAGAGAGCTGATTTGTAGCTGAAAGTCTCATTAGAAAAAAGTTTGTTTTAAATGGTGAAAATGTTAAATAGTTTTCTGTTGAACTAACTGTCAATACCACCGGCTCACCACCAAAAGAATAAGATTGTGCAATCCTCCTTAAATTTTTCTGGCAAATTTTTAATGTCCAATGATGTGGAAGACCTTTACCAAGGATGGACAAGCATTTGGTACAGTATTTTTCAAATAGCTCATCAGGTTTTGCCAATTATCTTGCCATTTTGAAAAGTAAAGTAGTGGTTACAGTTTGCGGTCAATCAAAATGGATTGAAAGTTGAAAATATAAGACTCTATTTTTATTAGTCCTTTTTCCGAATTTCAAAATTGAATTCTACAATTATCACAAACTGCTAAAAGAAATCTGTCATCTTTGAACTACCATTCAAAACGTAAATTTGCATAAAACAAAAATGATTGCAAATGAGTAAGTTTTGTTAGACATTTTGTGAAAGAAATAAAACTTATCATTTTTATCAAAAATTGGTAAAAATGGGTAAAAACTAAAATGGAAAAAATTTCATGGACGGTATAAGAAGATTTCAAAACTAGGTTTGGACTCCTACATGTATCTAAAATTACTCTCCACAAGAAAATTTTTGGGGTATTTTGTTGGTAGATTTCTTAGATTTTCAAACTGTGAACACCTAGTGCTTTTTGTCATAAAGGCTAATCAAATGTAACGCAAAGTGTTATGATTTTGTACTGATTAGCTTTATCGATAACAAAAATGTAGAATATATACATGTTTTACCTAGAGAATTTAAGAAGATATTTAAATAGATAACATCTCAGAGAGTTTCATAAACTTTTATTGATTGTGAAGTACGTAACATATAACCTTACCAGTTAAAGCATTTTAAAATTGTTTTTTAAACTAAAGAATAATGCTCAAGATTTTTTTTTTGGAGGCATTTTTTAGCAAAGAAACGATATTTTTTCAATTAAGCTAATTTTAAAGGGACCTAAAAAAAATGGAAATTGGATGATACCAGATAAGATAAATAGAGCGGGCAAAAAATATTTTATCCAAACTCGAACAATTTTTGACGGATTGTCAAAGACACATGAGGTCGACTGTTACCTTGATAAATTATCCGCTTAGCCAATTCTAACAATTACGGCTTTCAAGCAATTTAGTATTCTTTAAGTATATTATTTTATTTTGAGATAGAAGCTTATAACAAACAATATCTTTAAAATCTTACAATACACAAAGCATAATTTTTTTAGACATGAATGTTTTGCTTTGGTGTGGTTTGCGGGGGTTCATCTTGCTATTTTGACAATCTTTAACAATTTTAATGATCATAAACTAATCTAATTTTCTCCATGCATTATCATACGTTTAAAAAATGAGACAGTATTATTACATTTGAGACGTGAATATCAAATAGACATTCGATTCATTATATTTCGCTCAATCAATTTGTGAGGAATCTATAAAACGTGACGTCATACGTATCCTAATCTGCCTAAATTTTTCACCAAGGTAATTTGCCATTTTTGAAGTTGTTTGATGACAGTTATTTTCAACCAGTGTCTTCAACTAATCTTTATCAACTATTCATGGCGCTCCGAACCTTCACAAGACGTATCACCAGAACGATACGTCATGTGAAGGTTTAATATACGGGTACGCTTACGGCATTTTCTGCACATATCTTTCTTTTGGGTTGCGTTGCGTTTTTTCTTTTCCGGTTTTTTTAAACACCTAAATTACTTTCGATTTGGATCGATATTACCAAACTTGCAGAATAATTACAAATGTAAATAATTGAACGAGTTAATGTTACAATCATACAGAGATAACAAGGTCACAACCATACAGACATAATAAGCTTTCAAAAGAACGTATATATGGAAATAGTAAATATAATTTTAAAAAACTATTTTTAGTGAAAAAAATTTACGATCAAAATACGAAATTACTTTTTACTCAACCCAATAAATATTTATATTTTAAACTTTGATTTTATTTATTAAGTTTTATTTTATAATTAGACGCTTATTGTGGTGCAAAAATTAATTAATCCTTCAAAAAATGTA